CTTAAAGTCTTGAGGTTCATAACGATGAATTGTTCGTAATGTCTCGTCATCTAATAATACCTTTAATGTATTTTTGGTGTCACTCTCTTCAAGGCGCAGCTATTAATATTGTATTGGGCAGATTATGGTGCACAAAGCACATATTTGGAAACAGGGATGACTTTGTCTGCAGTCCCGTGATAAAAAAAAAACCATTTAAATAGCGGGCTTTTGAACGTTGTGGCGCAATTTTACAGCTTCGATAAATTTCTAGCTTATGATTTCTTATCACCGAAATAAAGGTAAAAATGTGTTTTTTTGACAAAATATTTTTAACACTGAATCATGGCAGAATAAAATATTTATTTTTTAGCATAGAAATAAAGGCAGAATGTGTTTTATTAATAACCGATATATTTTTCACATAGGAATAAAAGCAAAAACGTATTTTAAAATCAACCAGAAAAAAAAAGTAAAAAAGTGGAATCCAAAAGTTTGAAAGTTATGTTGTAGAATTGTACGCCCACATCGTAATACAAAGACTCCATAGACTCACCTATTTGGATACATACAGTTCATACACAAATTGACAATTACGTCTGTACAACATCTAAAAGTTTGGGGTAACACATTGCATGCGTACTCCAAGTATCACATTTCCGTATTTTTTCATTGTCTTTGTAATGGCAAAGATTCTGGAATTCTGCACATATAATCAAGTAAATATTTATTTGATTAGCGATTATATCGAAGAGCACGGAATCCCAATTGATGAGGTATTAGGAGTGTATTCTGCTAAATCAGAGATGTCTAATTTACGAATAAAGCTGTGACTTAGAAAACTCATCATGTGACACTGACCCGTGATTAATTTAAGGACAAAACACATTATTGGACAATATATAGTATACTTAAAAATTCAATTGTTTATTTATCAATAAGCAGAAAAACTTTTATTTCTATTCAAATATACTCGAAATATAGTTGTATTCGTAAATGAAATAAAAAGAAAATAATATAAAATGGAATAGTCTATGTACTATATGTCGTAATGTTCAAGTCAGAATCTTTATCCTGTGTTATTTTACTTTTGTTAGAATTAGTTGGTAAATTGTTGATTATAGGATCAATGTTATCAAGTTCTTCAATTACTTGACAAATAGGTGGTCTTTCGTCTGGTTCATGTTGCCAACATTCTATTTAAAGAGATTAAATTATATTAATTAATCTATTATTAATCTTATTGTAAAAATAAATTATACAATTATTTTTTTACTTACTTTTATAAAGTGAAACGAATTTATCATTTGTTTTTGGAATAGGATTTTCTCTAACACGATTAAGAATCATTAATTTAATAGAATCACGGTCAAATCTTTTTTTTTCAAAATTGAAAGGTGATGAACGACTTGTTAATTCCCAGAATAATACCCCTAAACTATATATATCTGATTTTTCGGTCAAACCATATTTTTGAATTAGATTCTGCTCAAAAAATTTGGGATCCATATAGGGTATTACACCATGTGCTTTAGTATGACTAACTGATCCTTTTCTTTGACATGAGCGGCCAAAATCTGCTACCTTTATTTTACCATCATTTATTAAGATATTATTGGGATGCTAAAAAAAAAAAGAATATGTTAATTGCGCAATAAATAAATTAGATAACTGATACGAATATATTGTACTTACAAGATCTCCGTGTATGATCTCTTTATCATCATGTAACCATGAAATCGCATTTTACAATTTCTCTGGCGAAATTTAATTGGCTTTCCCATTTAAAAGATATTTTTTCCGGCCATAATAAACAAAGGCGGATGCTCCAGAAGTAATCTTAGTAAGATTCTTAAAGTCTTGAGGTTCATAACGATGAATTGTTCGTAATGTCTCGTCATCTAATAATATCTTTAATGTATTTTTGGTGTCACTCTCTTCAAGGCGCAGCTATTAATATTGTATTGGGCAGATTATGGTGCACAAAGCACATATTTGGAAACAGGGATGACTTTGTCTGCAGTCCCGTGATAAAAAAAAAAACCATTTAAATAGCGGGCTTTTGAACGTTGTGGCGCAATTTTACAGCTTCGATAAATTTATAGCTTATGATTTCTTAACACCGAATAAAGGTAAAATGTGTTTTTTTTGACAAAATATTTTTAACACTAAATCATAGCAGAATAAAATAATTTATTTTTTAGCACAGAAATAAAGGCAGAATGTGTTTTATTAATAACCGATATATTTTTCACATAGGAATAAAAGCAAAAACGTATTTTAAAATCAACCAGAATAAAAAAGTAAAAAAGTGGAATCCAAAAGTTTGAAAGTTATGTTGTAAAATTGTACGCCCACATCGTAATACAACCATAGACTCACCAACAGGGCGGACATCCACGATATTGCCGATCATTTTGCCGATCACTTGTCCAATATTATCACATATAAAAATACCGTTGAATTAATTTTTTCACAAATTCTACATAAAAATGTATAAAATTTCGATTTTATTTACTTTATTTTATTTATTGTTAATAAATTAGTTCTTAAAATAATTCATAAAGATTTTGTCAAATATCAGACATATATTAATTTTACAATAATTGTAAACATTTATTTAATGATAACTTTCGGGTTATCAAAAATTATTCAGGTTTATTTTAGCCACTAATTCTTGAATACCTAAATAGCATACTGTGAAAGTTTCAAGTTTGGCCCGAAGTTCTGTGGCATGGCCCGAAGCTTCAAAGTCAAATTAGCAGATGATCAGCATATATATGAATTATTGAAAATTTCAACCTAAGGCTAAATTTGGAACCACATTTTATTTTGCTACAATACTTTTATATTTAATTATTGATAACCTAAATTATTAAACAAAACAGTTAAATATAATTTTTAGAACATTTATAGCTTGAGATAAGGCTTCAAAGTTAATGTGATATCACATTTATTATGATCGGCAAATGATCAACATGTGATATAGGGTATGTCCGCCCTGTTGGGTAACACATTGCATGCGTACTCCAAGTATTCACATTTCCGTATTATTTTTTCGTGCTGTCTGGCACATACTGCACATATAATCAAGTAAATATTTATTTGATTAGCGATTATATCAAAGAGCACGGAATCCCACTTGATGAGGTATTAGGAGTGTATTCTGCTAAATCAGCCATTCTTTAGAATTACGCTATTGAGATGTGAATAAAGCTGTGGCTTAGAAAACTCATCATGTGACACTAAAACGGTAATCTGATTAATTTGAAGGACAAAAACGATGAAATGGCATTATTGGACAATACATACACTTAAAAATTCAATTATTTATTTATCAATAAGTAGAAAAACTTTTAATTTCTATTCAAATATACTCAATAATATAGTTAGTTGTATTCGTAAATGAAAAAAAAAAGAAAATAATATAAAATGGAATAATCTATCTACTATATGTCGTAATGTTCAAGTCAGAATCTTTATCTTGTGTTATTTTACTTTTGTTAGAATCAGTTGATATATTGTTGATTATAGGATCAATGCTATCAAGTTCTTCAATTACTTGACAAATAGGTGGTCTTTCGTCTGGTTCATGTTGCCAACATTCTATTTAAAGAGATTAAATTATATTAATCTTATTGCAAAAATAAATTTTACAATTGTTTTTTTACTTACTTTTATAAAGTGAAATGAATTTATCATTTGTTTTTGGAATAGGATTTTCTCTTACACGATTAAGAATCATCAATTTAATAGAATCACGTTCAAATCTTTTTTCGAAATTGAAAGGTGATGAACGACTTGTTAATTCCCAAAATAATACCCCTAAACTATATATATCTGATTTTTCGGTCAAACCATAATTTTGAATTTCAGGTGAACTTAGGTTCTGCTCAAAAAATTTGGGATCCATATAGGGTATTACACCATATGCTTTAATATGACTAACTGATTCTTTTTTTTGACATGAGCGGCCAAAATCTGCTACCTTTATTTTACCATCATTTATTAAGATATTATTGGGATGCTAAAAAAAAAAAGAATATGTTATTTGCGCAATAAATAAATTAGATAACTGATACGAATATATTGTACTTACAAGATCTCCGTGTATGATCTCCTTATCATCATGTAACCATGAAATCGCATTTGCAATTTCTCTGGCGAATCTTAATTGACTTTCCCATTTAAAAGGTATAGTATCGTCTCTTAGATAATCTCTTAATGTTTTGTCCGCATATTCTAGAACAAGCGAATAATTTGTTTCATCAAGTTTCGTAACTCCATAAAACGTAATTATATTTGGATGAGGATTAACTATTCCCATCAAATGAATCTGAAAAAAAATAATAATGGATTTTAATCAACAAATAATATCAAAAATAGTTATATAAAAAAACTGTATCGGTAACACACCTCCTTAATAATAGCTTCTTCCTTGGGATTTTTGAATTTTTTAATTGCGAAATTTGATGCGTTTTTCCGACCAGAATAAACAAGGGCGGATGCTCCAGAAGCAATCTTAGTAAGATTCTTAAAGTCCTGAGGTTCATAACGATGAATTGTTCGTAATGTCTCATCATCTAATAATATCTTTAACGTATTTTTGGTGTCACTCTTTTTAAGGCGCAGCTATTAATATTGATGTTGAATTATCAATCAGAGATTAGGATGCATATTGGGCGTTTAATCAGATGCACATATTTGGATATTGGGCGTTTAATCAGGAGATTAGGATGCACATATTTGGATATTGGGCGTTTGTTTTGACCTTTCATAATGATAATATGATTTTGTCTGCAGCCCCGTGATAAAAAAAAAACCATTTAAATAGCGGGCTTTTGACCGTTGTGGCGCAGTTTTCCAGATTTGAGAAATGTCAGTAATAAATTTATAGCTTAAAATTTTTTTAACACCGAAATAAAGGTAAAAATGAGTTTTTTTTTTCGACAAAATATTTTTCAGTGCAGAATAAAAAAATTTATTTTTTAGCACAGGAATAAAGGCACAATGTGTTTTATTAATAACCGAAATATTTTTCACAGAGAAATAAAAGTAAAAACGTATAAAATCAACCAGAATAAGAAAGGGTCAAGTCTGAAATCCAAAAGCTTGAAAGTTATATGTACAGTCGTCCTCCCATATAGTCACTACCTATACACACAAATTGACAATTACGTACTGTACAACATCTAAAAGTTTCAATCGCCTAGAAAGCTCATCATGTGACACCGGTAATCTCGCACCCGTGATTAATTTATCAATAAGCAGAAAAATTTTTATTTCTATTCAAATATACTCGAAAATATAGTTGTATTCGTAAATGAAAAAAAAGAAATAATACTATAAAATGGAATAGTCTATTTACTATATGTTGTAATGTTCAAGTCAGAATCTTTATCTTGTGTTATTTTACTTTGTTAGAATTAGTTGGTATATTGTTGATTATAGGATCAATGCTAGAGACAAAACTTCCACAATCGTCTCGAGCATGAAACACAGGTTGTACCGCTGGAATTCATCTTCGATTAGAGAGATGGAGGCTATCAAGTTCTTCAATTACTTGACAAATAGGTGGTCTTTCGTCTGGTTCATGTTGCCAACATTCTATTTAAAGAGATTAAATTATATTAATCTTATATTAATCTTATTGCAAAAATAAATTATACAATTATTTTTTTACTTACTTTTATAAAGTGAAACGAATTTATCATTTGTTTTTGGAATAGGATTTTCTCTTACACGATTCAAAATCATCAATTTAATAGAATCACGGTCAAATCTTTTTTCGAAATTGAAAGGTGATGAACGACTTGTTAATTCCCAGAATAATACCCCTAAACTATATATATCTGATTTTTCGGTCAAACCATATTTTTGAATTTCAGGTGAACTTAGGCTCTGCTCAAAAAATTTGGGATTCATATAGGGTATTACACTATATGCTTTAGTATGACTAACTGATTCTTTTTTTTGACATGAGCGGCCAAAATCTGCTACCTTTATTTTACCATCATTTATTAAGATATTATTGGGATGCTAAAAAAAAAAAGAATATGTTAATTGCGCAATAAATATATTAGATAACTGATACGAATATATTGTACTTACAAGGTCTCCGTGTATGATTTCTTTATCAACATGTAACCATGAAATCGCATTTGCAATTTCTCTGGCGAAATTTAATTGGCTTTCCCATTTAAAAGGTATAGTATCGTCTCTTAGATAATCTCTTAATGTTTTGTCCGCATATTCGAGAACAAGATGAGGATTAACTATTTCCATTATATGAATCTGAAAAAAAAAATAATGGATTTAATCAACAAATAACTGACAGATTACCTCCCTCCATACGGCCATACCAAAACCGTTACTCCATACAGTAACGTTATAGTACCGTTTCCTATTACTTTAACTATATAGATGTTTGTATAGAAATAAAATAATAATAAAAATACAAATTTGCGAAAAACATAAAAGCTAAAAATTTGGCCGTTTTATAATTTTATTCCTATCTAATTTATGTTGGAAACTTTTTGCGTGAAATCACGTGACTTTCACAATATGTAGATGACATTGCGAATATACACATCCTTTCGGAATGTCCTAATGGGAATATGTTGATTCCTTTTATTACACCATCGACGAAGCAACACTTGATTATTTCAACACGAAATTCCAGTTCCACTAATTGTGTTATTCTCCGCAGCACAAACATATTTCATATTTCTCAATATCGAGACCGTGATCACGGTCACAGTTGTCTTATTTCATAGTTCCGATTGTTTTTTCTATTGTCTTGTGAACGTTTATCATTCTGTCATAAATCACCGATAGCATTTCGGAACGATCATAAACAGAATAGACTCATTAGTTATTGAAACTCCACAGGAGAAAATATACTGCTTATCCAATACACAATTTTTATTAGTAAGGCTGGAACATTCAGGGAAAAGACTAATAAAATAATTTGCTTTCAAAATTTTATTAATACACATAAGGCTACATGATGACCGATGACGCTCTATACATTACTACTCTATCTACTCCATGTCATATTCGATCTTTTAACCTATTTTTTGTATAGATTGGTAACAGGGAGTCCCTCTTCAGCCGTCTGTATTCTAAGAACTCGGCTACACTCATATGCTTATACATAATATTTTTTTTCCCCAATATCTCTGGTAATCATCCAATTCTAATATAATATCTTTCTTACATTCTTCTAATCTCTCCTTAGACATTTCGAATTTTTGCTGTAAATGAAGGATAAGGGTATCTACAGTATATCAAATTTGTTTTTGATAAGAAACGGTTCATTTGGATTCAACTCCGACAAGCGGAATTCAGTCTGGACACTTATCTTAGCTGAAGTCAAGGTGTTCGTTTTCGCCTCCGATGCATCAGTCTGATCATCATCTTGATTTTCTCCTTCGGGACTATCAAATTTCCGTATTGGATTTTTCGGTGAAGTTTGAATCTGAGAGTTAGTAAATTTTAAACAGTATCGGCAATATATATTTTGATGTATTGTCCATTCTTATTTTTTCGAATAAATTGTCAATTCTCAAAGCTTTCTGTGTTTGCTTACATAAAGTTTTGCGTTTGGTATTTAGTTGTACAATAATAATAAATCATAAATTTGTCCTTTCGCCTTTTTCTCACCATCGATCAAACAACATGCTAAATTTTTATTTACCAACAATTAGTAAACTCAAACTTTATTCTTTCAAAAATTCGCAAATAATGTAAAAGCACAATTGAAATTTTATTTGCAATTTTGATATTTTTTAAATTCTATCTTTACATCAGAAATAAAATAAATCAAATGAAAAAATACTTGCAAGTGCAAATATTACGTTAAGATTTTGCCAATATGTAAAGAAGGCTCAACAAATACTTTTTCAAGTATTTGTGTAAGCACAGTTAAACTCCCCATCTTGGTAAAAAGTTTATCATAGCATAGGGCGACTGTGGGATTATTTTTATGAGACGTTAGGATTAATAAGAGGTAAAGTGGATGCTTTGAAGTAGAGATCGCCGTTTTGCCCATCATAAAAAAAATTTTACTGCTAAATTGTGATGATTGATTTTTTTGGTTTGTACTTATATACTTTTCCATCATCTCCCACAAACTGTGGTAAACCATCATCTGATTCCCTTAGCCACAACCTTTGACATATATCTTACTTTTAATGAATAGCACCAAAAGGAGTACAATGGTCCATAATCCCTGCAACATCGAAGAGATAAATGTATATTTGGTGTTATCATTTCCTGCCCATAATTATCTTCACTCAACGTGCAACTGTTAATAACCGGTTCGGTGTGGGCTTCTTCTAATGCATTATTTTCAATAATACGTGACACATTCAAATAAACGACCATAGCAATCCATAAAAACCAGGAAGATGAGAAGATCAAAATCAAAAGTAAGTGCAATCCGCTGACGATCTTGTTCACTTGCAAACGTATCTACAACCATATGAATTATCGCGAAATAAACACGGCTTCTTGATCGTTAAAGTTTCTCCAGATTTTTGAGGTAGGATTAGAGTGTGACGACATACTTCATTAGGGCAGAAACAGGGAGTAGCACACTTCCCGTAGCACACTTCCTATGCTCATTAGCGCGCGTCTCTACATCATGAGAACGTAAAAATACTGGTCTTAAAAATTTTACGGCTCAAACATTCTCTCGTCCCTGGCTCTGAATGTTCCGTTCCGATTGGAAATATTTGGGTAAAAAGTACTTCACGTAATCACCAGTTGGAGACCCAGTATTTATGATAAAACGGACTAGTTCGTTTGTTTTTTGATCTCTACGATTGATATACAGCACAAAATAGCCGGTTATTTGTAACTATAAATTATTCCCTCCAAAAGGTGTCTATATAACCATTTTCTAAAATTCTAATAAATATTTATCTTTAATTTTTAAACCTAATTTATGCCAATCCTTTATATATCTAATTTTCTAAAATAACCTTTCATAATTATTATTAATCTCTTCAATCATATCACCTTTTAATTCATTTATCTTTCTATCTAAATATATTATAACCTTATTATGTATTTCCCTATCCCAAGTATTTCTGAGAATTTCTCCACGCAGATCATTTGCATTAACATCTGTTAACAAGATGCTTTCGTTAGAATTTTATCACCTCTCTCCTCATTATCCTCTATTATTTCGTCCGTTTTCCTTGTACTTGCACTCTTGCCCCTTGCTTTCGTTATATTTCGTTCCATACATTCTAATAATACTCCTCGCCATCTAGTCCTGTTTCAGATTTTTGTGCTGCTAATAATCTTATTAATTTGTTTTTACTCATTATAGTTTTCGTCTTTCTTTTAATAATGTTTACATAAAACATTTTCAAAGACAACACCTGACATAATCGACCTTCCCCAATCCACAACCGGGTTACTAGGAAGGGGGAAAGGGGGATAATGACTAATAAATGGAGGAAAAGGGAATTTGTCATAAGTCTAGAATAATAATTTGGGCATTGGCTCCTCCTGCTTTTTCATTTTGGCCTATTATATTTTAATATTCGGAGAAAAAAAAAACCAAGATATAGACCAAAGATAAAAAAATAAAAGAAATACGGAAATAATTTAAAGAAAATCTTATTATATATGTTGTTATTGCACGTAATAACTCTTGTTTATTAATCTTATTAATTTTCTCTTTTTATTCGATATATACTTTATCAAATGTGTGTCTTTGTATCCACCGTTATCGGAATACATAATGATAGATAAAAGATATGAGCAAGGTGAATAAAAGAGAATAAGGAAAAAAAGGGAGGACTAACGAATAAAGATAATAAGGAGAAAAGAGGAAAGCGAAGAGGATACATCCATGCCCTTCAAAGCCCAGAATAATTTTTAAATGTCTACATTTTTATTAGGCCATCATCAATCGTTAGAAATTTTTCCTCCGATATTATCGGAGAGTAGAGAAATAAACTCTGAAAAATTTTTTGAAAATATTTCAGAGAATTTCTTTTCAAAAATTAAAATATTTTGAGATTTTAGAGAAATTAAGGATAAAAGAGTGGCGAGATTAATGTTGTAAAAGGGGGAAAAGGAGATTTTGTGGTGATGTTTAAAGAGATGATTAAATAAATCATATTCACATAGATTTTACTTTCGGTGTATGTTATTGTTATATCAAATTTGAGCAACAATACACATATTAAAGGTAGATAAAAATAAATAAGAAAGATGTTGCGTTGTGATGATCATACCGGATTATACCGGATTCCCAAGTCCAGTTTTGTTTCCAGTCGGCACATTCAAAAATTATTTTAAGAATTTTTGAATTTGATATATTAAATTTGTGTAGGCGTGATTGCCTCTTTGAAATTTTCATACGGATCTTTTGTATTAGTGAACATTTTCGAATAGCAGAATAGATTCTGGCGGTGAACAATTTGGTTGTTTTGTGAACTATTAGCAATTAATGAAGTGAATTTGAAGGCGTATGTGTGTGTGAAGGTCTTTCAAAAGATTCAAAAGAACTTCAAATATTGTTGTAACTTTTAGCCTAGATTCAGGGTCGTGATTAACGGCTAAAACAGAAATCAGATCAATATATTATAAGATATTGTTTTCCAAATCAAATTTATTATTATTATTATTATTATTATTAATTTTTCACATACCATTAAGTGATAAATATTTGAATTTTTCTGGTATCGTGCTATTTTCTGAAAATGATTTTCGATATTTTCGCGCACAAGACTGGTCAATCTTACAATATCCACACAATTTCTATAGGAGTTTTCCCTTCAGCTATTTCCCAAAGCAGGATCCTAAAGCTATAAACTTCACAGTTATAATCATATTTGAGATATAGAATCCTCTCCGATAATAATTCGGGAGTTCAATAACGAACCCGTTCTAAATATTCGTTTCGTTTGAACTCAGGCGATGTAAATGTAGCAGCTGCTCTTGATGTGCGACATGATTGAAATTTGCAAGTTTTGCCGTATCATTAAGTGTTACTGTATCATTAAGTGTTACTATCTCAGCTCTAATATCACGATCATAATAAAAAAAAAAAATTAAAAATTGCTTATAAAAAAACTCTTTTTTTATCAAAGTAAATTTATCAAATTAAATGATTAATAAATTACCTCTACACTTCTTTGAAAACTTAATCCCTGAGCAAATATCAAGAGAATACGCAATTTTAATCTAATGTTTACGACTTGTATAAAAATCGCGTAAATTTCCATACTCTGCCCATTCCGTTACAGAGTACCATTTATTTCCATCACAAGTAATTCCATAAAATTTATGATATTTTGACAATTGTGAAGTTCTTTAAGAATTGTAACTTGATTTTGTACAGCATTTTTATTCTTGGGATAGGTTATGATTAAGGTTGATTCATATTTTCCAATCATTATTAGTATCTGCTCCACATTCTAATAATACTCTCGTCATCTGGACATCATTTAAATTATCAATGTCTATTTTCTACTTCCCCTTTTCTTCCTGAGTTAGTTCGGGTAATTCGTTTAGTCCTGTTTCTGGTTTTTCCTCTAATCTTCCCTCAATCTTTGGCTCACTCTTAAAAGGTCAGGTTCGTAATTTTGAATCCGTGCTGCTAATAGTCTTATTAATTTGTTCTTGTTCTTTATGGTTTCGGTCTTTCTTTTAATAATGCTTTTGCATACCTCAACATTTTTTTAATAGAATGTGAACTTTGTCTTTTTCCATAATTTTGTCGTAAGTTTGGAATAATAATTTGGGCATTAATACACTCCTGCTATATATTCGTGGCTTTCGTGCCTTTTTTCATTTTTCCATTTTGGTCTATAATTTAATTTTCGGCGAAAAAAAAGAAACCACGGAAATAATTTAAAGAAATTCTTAGTTATAACTGTCATTTATTAAGTTCGATACATACTTTGTCAAATGTATATGTTTTTGTCACAATACATAAAAGAGGAGGGAAAGTGAATAAAAGTGAATAAAGAAAAAGGAAGAGGAATTAACGAATAAAAGATAATAAGGAGAAAAGAAGGGATAAAATAAAAAAAATATGGTTGGTAACTTTTTGCAAAAAGTAAAAATTTACAATAAATCATAGTCACGTGGATTTAACTTTCGGTGGTACATATATAACATTAAAATCTAAGCGGTTGGCACATTATTTGGTAAGTGTTAAATGTCAATTTTCAAAAAAAAATATTTTTTTACTCAAGAATTATATATTAAATTTTTTGTAGGTGTGATTACTTCTTTGAAATTTTCATACGGATCTTTTGCATTAGTGAATTTTTTCGAGTAGGTTCTGGTGGTGTACGATTTTGGTTGTTTTGTGAACTATTAGAAGCTGAATTTGAAGGTGTATGCGTGTGTGGAGGTCTTTCAAAAGATTCAAAACAATCACAAAGAACTTCAAACATTGTTGTAACATTTGGCCTAGATTCAGGGTCGTGATTAACAGCTAAACATCGAAATCAAATCAATATATTATATTATTATTATTATTATTCAAATCAAATTTATTATTATTATTATTAATTTTTTACATACCATTAATTGATAAATTTTTGAATTTTTCTGGTATCATGTTATTCTCTGAAAATGATTCTCGATATTTTTCACTCACAAGACTGGTCAATCTTGGAATATCCACACAATATCTATAGGGAGTTTTCTCTTCAGCTATTTCCCAAAGCAGGATCCCAAAGCTATAAACTTCACAGTTATAATCATATCTGAGATATGGAAGCCTCTCCGATAATAATTCGGGAGCGCAATAACGAACCCGTTCTAAATTTTTGTTTCGTTTGAACTCAGGTGATGTAAATGTAGCTGCTCTCAATGTGCGACATAATTGAAAATTTGCAAGTTTTGCTGTATCATTAAGTGTTACTAATATATTCTCGGCTCTAATATCACGATGCAAAATCTAAAAAAAAAAAATAATAAATAAAAATTGCTTATAAAAAATAAATTTATCAAAGTAAATGATTAATAATTACCTCTACACTTCTTAAAAAACTCAATCCCCGAGCAATATCAAGAGACATACGCAATTTTAATCTAATGTCAAATAAGTTTTTACGAGTTGTATAAAATTCGCGTAAATTTCCATACTCAGCCCATTCCATTACAGAGTACCATTTATTTCCATCACAAGTAATTCCATAAAATTTTATGATATTTTGACAATCGTGAAGTTCGTTAAGAATTGTAACTTGATTTTGTATAACATTTTTATTCTCAGAAATATCTTTGAATGCGAATTCTCTACATCTATTTTTAACATCAACCCATTTAGTCACGCGTCCCCCTTTACGTGGTTCCTTAGCAGTTTCTTTGAAGTCAGAGAATTTTAGTAGTTGTGTTTTGTTACTAGCCCTATCAGTCTTCTCATTCAACTCACTTAGTTGTAAAACCATTGAGGAAAACCCATCCTGTAAATCTCTTACATCATCTCCAAATTCTTCAAAACGCTAAAATTATAAAATTATTAATAAAAATTTGAATTCTGAACATATTAACATAATTAATGATATATAAGATTATATTAAAAGCTTACTTTAATTAATTTCTCTGGATCAGCTCTTAAATGATTCTAAAATTATTAATAAAAATTTGAATTCCTAGGATATTAACAATAATTTATGATTATATAAGATTTATATTAAAAAGCTTACCTTAAATAATTCTTCTAGATCGACTTCATAATTATCAGGAAGTTTAATCTCCAAACTGATTAAACAATTTTCAAAATCTCTATATATTGCTTTATAAGTTTCCTCAATACTTTTTGGTTGAGGTAAAGTTATCATTTGAGAAATTTCTTTAATAAAGGTTTTAATTCTTCTTGTGGCAAGAATTAAAGTTTGTAAACATTGATAATTTTGGTTATTAAAAAATTCTTGTTCTTGAACTTTAATATTAATTGCTGTCGTTAAATTTGCGTCACAAACTCGTTTTTTTAACGCATTACAAATTCCTATATTTTGTTTGACAATTATTGGAATATCAGTTATTTCCTTAAGAATATTTTCAATTTCATCTTTTGAAGAATAAAATTCTGCAATTTCAACGTCGGGGTGATATTGACTCTGTTGACTCATTTTTTTTTTTTTTTACACTTGAATAATATTGAAATTTTTTTTATGGAGGAATATGAGGAATATCGAGCATTTTTATAAAAAAGAATAACGGAATCATTACTCCGGATGGGAAGAAATGAATCATTATATAATAGTTTTAGCTTTTTTTTAAAAGAAAAAAAAAAGGAAAATGAAAACTTCTGAAAATTTTTTCGATTTACGTATACTCCGCATTTGATTTAACCACAAAGTCCAAATTAGGAAATTAACAAAATTTTCATTGTCAACTGAAATGTACTGCGGAAAAAGCATCTAAACTACAATCACATGATACGGAGTATTTAAAATTTGACCTAACCTTTCCCTTATATCAATTTGTAATTTATTATCATTCTATTAAAATATAGATTTCTGGAATTTAATTATATTAAATATTGATTTTTTAGATTTATAAAGCTTAAGTTAAAAATTCAATACAATTAATTGAATTGATTTTTTACAATCCAGTTGCTTGTTTTGAGAACCAATCCGAGATTATTATACCAGGGCCAATGAATGCTATGGTTGAAGTTTATTAATAATATTGTGATTAGGAGACAAACACCTGATGTATAAATTGTCAAACGAATAAATTCTATATATTCCAATACAAATACAACATCATAGAAAGATATATAAATAACTTGATTTGTTTCATTCTTATAATTTGTGATTTGCACGAATAAACCCACAACAGTTGCAAATGTAACCAAAGTTACCAAAGAGTTTTAGGATGGAACTCTAATAGAGAAATTGAAAATGCGAAGAAGTGATGAACATAAACAAAAGCAAATCATAAACAATCAAAAAAAAAAATTCCTTTTCTACGTTTTTTAAATCATGATCTCGCATTCTCGCTCTCAGATAAGCTATTCTGTCTGTATTGTTATTAAGATCATTTTTGTAAAACATAAGCTCCGATCCGTTCAAATTATCAAGAGTCTTTCATAAGTCCTGGATCAGCTGAATCAGATGTTTTAGTTACAGAACTTTTTGCATCTTTAGGAAATACATCAGTTGCAGGACCGTTTGCATTTTCAAAAGATAAAAGACCGTACTCTATTTGTAGATCTGAAATGACAGAATATTGTTGATAGCTTTACTAGATTAAAAAAACTTAGTACATTCCTTAGATCTTACCATCTCAGCAATATTGAAATATCCTAATGTTAAGAAAGTGATTAAGCCCCCCCTAATTATACTTTTATCTACACATGACATATATAAAATTCTATTATACATTCCTATTATATATTTAATTTTAAACCTTTACTAATCAACTAATAAATAGATAATACTTGCTTAATTTGCAAACCAACCAGTATTTTACTAATCAACTAATAAATAGATAATACTTGCTTAATTTGCAAACCAACCAGTATTTTACTAATCGACTAATAAATAGATAATACTTTGCATACATCCCATCCATTAATAATTATTCCAATTATCCCAATTATCTCATAAAATAATAAAATAAAATAATAATAATTGACAAGTAAATAGTTTTGTCAAATCCAATGAAATTTTATTAATCAAAAATACAATACATTTTTTTTTTTTATTTTCTATTACTGTTCATCAAAATCAATATATTAAATATTTTTAAAAATATTTGAAGCTTCTAACATCATGGATAGAAAAAAAAATAAAGAAAATTATTAGACGATAATTATTTGTTTAAAAAACCATTATCTTGTTTCCTCATTTTCTTCATCAATAATATTAAAATTACTCATCCCTTCCGTGATTTCTTCATCGTCAGCAACACTACCACTACCCTTAATTCTAGGGGATCCAGGTGCTGACAAAGGTTTAGGAATTTTGGCTTTAATATAACTTTCAAATTCTCCAGCTTCAGCTCCGGCAAATGAATCAGGGTATGTTCTGTATAAAGCTAACTTTCTTGCTCTAACATATTCCATACCCATAATTTTCCAATCTAATAAATCTGATAACCTTTCAGTTCTATTACGTTGAGTAATTCTCTGACGTCGGGATTTTTGACAAAATTGCAACATATAATCAGCCATCTGATTTATTGATTCTTCAGTCGACCTTGTACGACGATCCACAATGTGTATACCATAATCTTTAAGAGAAATTTTTTATATTAATATTTTTAAATTGATTCCATTAAAAATCAAAAATCATATATATTATTAATAAAGTTACCAGCAGGTGTTTCAAGTATTTCTTCCATAAAGCCACCGTATCCCGAAAGGTTTGATGTGATACAAGGTACACCCATAACAGTACATTCTGCAGGTGCCGTGCCCCAAGGTTCATAATAACTGGGGAAAACGCCAAGATGACATCCACGAACGAAATCTTCATAATCCAATCCAATTAAAGGACTACCAGAATTCATAAATTCTGGGTGAAATATAACTTTCACTCGATCACCTGGACTATTTAACAATCGTACGTGACGAATAGCATTTAAAATGGGATCTGATGCGTCATCAACCATATTATGTGTGACTATTGGTGGCCATCCTCCACGTTTTAAAGCAATGACACGTCTTTTCAAGAATACTTTATCTTTACTTGTGAGTAATTCTTCAGGTTCCACTATCGCATCCACGATATCACCACTGTAAGTTAAAAAAATAATGATATTTAAATTGACGTAATAAATAAAAAAAGTGAATGTTTTATATAAACAAATTTAAAAAAGTTACCCAGCATAGCGAGCGGCTTTTTCAAATATTCTTTGTCCAATCTTTTCCGTAATATCTTTTATAGTTTCTTTTAATTGCTTGGTAACAGCTTGGCCTTTCAAAGATTCAACGGCAAAAGATTGTGTAGCAGCAGGCATAACTATGAAAGCCACGACAGTTGTCGGCGAATTACAAGCTATTAAACGAGAATTTAAACCTGATAAAATGAAAAGAAATTAAAGCAGTTTTAATATTTTTTATAAATAGAATCAGGAATAGCTTTTTCTAAAGTACCTACGTCCTAGTGATTCGATAAATGTATCAACGCCTTTATTTTTAAATTCATAATGACCGGCTGTAAAGAAATATAATGTACTATCCAAATCGAAATCATAATGACCATAAAAATGTCCCCTAACAAAATCATGAATCTTTTCCTTATTTTGTGCGTGTAAATTTTGAAATTCATGCATAGCGGAAAACTTCACTGCATTTAACCCAATAGGAAGGACACCATCTAAATTAAATAAATTTATCGTATTATAAAATATACTTTTTTTTAAAAAAAATAAATAAATAAATTTTAGTACAGATCATTAAACTCACCTGGTTTTCTTCGTAACAAATGTTCGGCTTCATAAGCAGTAATTTGACTAACAGTAGTAAATACATCAGAACAATGAGCTGCAGCACGTTCAATATGATATCGATGATATATTCCACGTTTTCCAGCCTCCTCTTCAACATTGAAACTTTTTATATTATTATAAAAATCCACAGAACCGGAAACTAAATAACGACCAAGTAAAGTTGCATGAGAGGTAAATATAGTCGCCAAATCGATATGACGTTTCCTTATGAGAGGAACTCCAACAGCGGCCAACCAATCATGAAAATGTGCTATCACCGCGGCGTTTTTTTCACGAGCAACAAACTAAATTTTTTAATTAGTATTTAAATATCATATGAAATCACGTGTGTGTAAAGTTTGGTAACACAAAACGTAATATACGTAAAAATTACATCATTTAAAAACCAGGTTACTAAGTAACCAAACAAAATTGCATCATTAACTTCTTGATCATTTGGGGGAGAAGGAATACTGGCGACCTTCCATAAATCAGCTTTCCATTCTTCCAATCTTGTAGAAACTGAACCAGTATCGAAGAGAAGAACATGAGGAGCACTTTCAATTAACCACCTTCCATACATCCATCGAATTCCTTGACGAGACATTTCTTCGAGAACCTCTCTCATGTAAGGATTAGACACTTCTTCAGGTTCAACTTCAGCCATTGCAGTTTTATAATATAAGGGACCAATGAGAGTATATCGGTCACCAAATTCATGAACAGTAACTGGAGCTTTTGATCTCATTACACTATAAATTCCGCCAACTATCAAAGAAAAATTAATTTAAAGAAAAATTAATTTTAGGGAAAATTAATTTTAGGGAAATTTTAGTTCATTTAAGTTCTTCATCATCATCTTTTTAAGAGACCATCATTATTTTTTTAAATACCTTTGTTTGCAACTTCCCACGAAACTTCGAATAATATAGGATTATTAACATCGCGATGCGTCATTTTTTGTTAATAGAAAAATATGAATTATGAAAAAAAATGAAAGAAAAGAAAAAAAAAAGAAAATATATGTAAAAATATAAAAAAAAAAATGAACAAAAGTAAACGTAAGAAATTTTTTTTTTTTTTCTCTCGTACAGTATTATATATATATAAGTGATTAAATAGGATTAGTCTATAGATTTATGACCGTATTTGTTAAATTGCTTATTGATCAACGTATTATAAAATAGCAGGAATAAGTAAGTATAAACCAGCCATTTGACCAAAATTAGGATGGAGTGTTGAGGGCACATGCAAAGCATACCGCCTTTCAGATAAAGTAATATACGTACGCAAATTTTTCGGATCATTAAAAATAATGATTAGAAGATAACGTTTATTTTCGTGGGAAAATCTTTGATTATTATTCTGCTATAATAACGCAACTATCCTCCTTATAAGATCACCTCATCAACCCCATTGAAAAAAAAATGATGGACATAAAAAGTAAAAATGCGTGTGAAATATGCAGTTAAAAAGTGGCGCCACGAAAAAATTCCGCAGTAGAACAATTAATAGAAATAAAATTTTTTTATTTTCATAAATTACATAAATTTCATAATTCATAATCATAATCTTATAATCATAATAAAATTAATTTTTATCATAAAGAATTCATAGCATAAAAATCGACAAATTCATAAGATCCAGGATAAAATTCTGCTTGTAAAATACCAATCAAAGCGATAAGCAAACTTAATGGTATAGAAATATTAGTAAGAAAGAAAAATGATTTGCTAGCGATTGGTTGATTAAATAATATATAATGAAGAAATGATACTATAATTAAAGATATACTATGCCATAAAAATATGTAAATACATGAGAAATTTAATATTCTCATCTGATTATTTAAAAAGAATATAAAAATGTAAGGTTAATATATAACATAAATTTTGATAAACTTGATAAACATGATTAACTTAATTACCTTTCTTATATTTTGATTTATTCTTATATTTGTTAATGCTCTAATGCTTCTATTCGCATCTATACTTTGATTTGATCCAACGAAACTACTTTCACTTGAACTAATAATACTATTAATACCAATATTATCATCATTAACTCCCGCTAATGTAAAACTGTTTTTAGTAAATTCTACCAATCTTTTACCATAATAAATTGCGGCAAATGCAAAACTTAAATGCACCAAACCGTAACCTGCCCAATGAAATCCGAACGTCAAACATAAAAATTTTGAAAAAGAATGAGGAGGTAGATTAAGTCTTGCAATACCCGTTAATATGGCCAATGTTTGAGAATATATGATATGTATACAAAAGAATGTCCAAAATATATTGGATATTTGTGATCCTTTGAGTATTAATATGGTTGGTGAATTTTCGTTGGAAAATTTATAGAATGTCATTCTTGGAAGCGTTCGAAAGATTCCTGCTAAATACGTGGCAATTGTAAAATCACCGGAAAACCAACTGAAATCATAAATCATTTCTCTTAATATAGGATTATTTGAAAACCAATTCATTTGTTGAATTATATTTGTAAATGCTCGTGCCATGCTGAAAATAGAAACACCTAATAAATAACCTTCTAATGGAGCAAAACATCCTTTCTCCCAAATATGTCCTTTACGTGCTATAATTCTAAACATTAATAACGCGATCGCTCCAATCATTACTATTATGTAAAGTACATCGGAACAAATGTAGAACGCTTGTAATATTAGATCATAATTACAATCCGATATCGAATATCCCCATCTGTTTTTGATTGAAAAATATGATGAATATTTGTTAATTCTTGTAAATGATATTTATAATCTTTACTTACTCGCACTCTGGAAGTTTTTTGGTGTTATCGGTCATTAGATATTCTATTATTTTATTTCTATCTGATTCATTAATCGTGAAAAAAATTTTTTTTTTTTTTTTAATCATTTTGACTCGTAAATATATATATCTTTTTTTTTTTTTTCTTTTGAATAATTTCATATAATACCAATCGATAAACATTATTGGTAATCGTAGATAAACAAAAAATTCATAGAATGTTTTTCTTTGTTTTTTTTAATAAGTCTGGAGAATAAACATATTACTTTAAAAGGGAAGAAGATTCTAATTTTATTGATTTGATTGGCTACATGTATTTTCGGTAATGTCCGTTGATCAATATTGCATAAAATATATAAAAAATAATGTAATAGCATTTACTGTATATACGGGTAATTTTTTCCCTATTTTTTTTAAAAATTCGCTACTTACCGGCTGGAATATTGGATAATCAAGAAATTTTTGTTTTTTTTTAATATTGGGTTTAATTAATGCAATTCGATTTCTATTTTTAAAATGAGGTTAATAATGCATAAGTTGAACGTATGATCATAAGATAATTGGGCATTAGAAATTAAAAAAGTTATTATTATTAATAAATATGAATTCATTAACGAGTTTTCTAATGTAGCGTAGAAATAATTACTTTTCTTTTTATAGTAATCTAAAAAAATATATATTATTATAATTGATTATTTGAAGACTAAAAATTTAGCCTGCCTCCGATTCAGTAAAAAAGACCAATAGCAGAAAATTACAGGTGATTTAGGTGATTTATGATAATAATTCACAAAGCTAATTTATTTTTATTACCATATATATAATCAATTCATATAATTGAATTGCAAAATGACGTAATAATTTCTGCGCATATATAAAGTTATAAATAAACTGCACACGAGTTTAAATTTATAATTAGTACAATAAACAACGTAAATATTTCTTAATAATTAATAAACTTTAAACTCAGAATTAACTGTTTCGTGACGTCATATTAATCCTGATAACCTATCAATTAACCGATTATAAAAAAAAAAAATATTTCTTGTAATCTCGTAATTTACTTTTAATTAATGAAACTCATTAGTAATTCGCTTTCATTATTACAATCGTCTACATATAAAATTTCGTAAAAATAAAAAGATCTAAATCATATTAAATTTATCGATCTTATTGCGAAATATCAATAGCAAATTATATTATTACAATCAGGGTATAAACCGATTTCTTGATTATGAATTGATTATGTAAAAAAAATATTTTTCCTTTTTTCTTATACTAATAATTAAAAAAAGAATTATAGAAAAATCCTTCGGACATATTCGCTTTGTTATCTTTAAAAAAAAAAAAAAAAATTATTTTAAGGAAATAGTCATTAATTTTAATTTACGCAAAATCAACATTTTCACAGTGTGGCTTAACATAACAAACATCAAATATTCAAATTCAACAAACTCATTGTACGAACCTAACAAAGATTTTGTTATTTAGGTAAGAAATTTCTTTAAGGTGATACGGATGATATCCACGTGATTTGACAAAGTAGGAAATATTTCTATAATGCATATTTTGAAACCCGGCCCGGCCCGGACTCGGGGCAATTAATTTTAAATTCTTACAACAAACAAAAAACAAAATGGCATTTTTAATAATTGAAAACAAAACAAAAAAAAACAATAAAAATAAATAAATAAAATTAAGAAATAATGACAAAAAAAAAAGGGTACGGTTTTATCAAAAATAGAGTTTGGATCTTTATTTTACAATTTTGGATTGACATCCCGGATTAAAGATAATGATCTGCAGGTTTGAAATTTGAATTTTTAAGCATTTTAAGCGAAATTAGAAGTAATAATTATTATAACAAATTACTTTTAGTAAAATCTAATCTAAAGTTCGGACATCCCGAGATGATCAGAAACCCGAAGTATAATTGCCATATACAGTATAAGGCTGAATTAGACTTCTTAATTTAATCATTAATTTTTCACGAATATTAATTTTTAAACCTTATCGTTTCAAATTTCAAAATTTGTTTGCTGATTATAATATGAATATCCGTTTGAAATAACGGATCTAAAAAAAAATGCGATTATATGAATTTTAATAATTAAATACATTTTAAACGTTAATTTAATAATATACATAAATGAAATTGTCTCAAAACAATAATAAATAGTTATTGGATGAGGAATATCGGCCTTCGACCGATATCTCTGTTCCCCCATCCAATAACTGAGTTATAGTTTAGTCATTAGGAATACTGCGGTGACCAATAAAAATAAGACCTGCAGATTTAGCAGTTAGTTATTAAGTCTATAATAGAGTTGGGCGCCGAAACGTTTCGGTTATACAACAATTATTATATTCCAAGAACTGAATACTTTAGCTATAACGGTTGATAGGTTTGGGATTTCGGCACCAAATTTTAAATTTCAACAATGGTCCGGAATTTCAGCAATGGTCCTGAATTTTGGCAACAGTTTGGGATTTTGACAACACTCACTTTTATTATATAAATCAATATAAAACAGCGAATCCAAATATCGCAACTCACTTTTATTATATAGAATCAATAGTTTCAGGTCAATAGGTCAGCAATAGTTTGAGGTTTCAGCAATTTGATTCCTAACTATCTCAAACCATTGCTGAAATCTAGAATTTAGTTTGGGATTTCGGCAAAGATTTTCGGCATTTTTATAGCCGAAACGTTTCTGCACCAAATTTTAGTCTATAATGATAATTATTTTCATGTAATGGAAAACTTATAGCAAATTAGCACATTTTTTAAAAATTAAAAATTGTTTTTACAAATATCTTGGCATCCAGCGATCCAAATTTTGATGAACTTTTTTTTTTAAAAAAATTGTAAAACTCTTTATCAGATATCTAATACTGATTTCAATATTGGATGTCTCATAAGAAGTATCGATCATCACACTTTCGAGAGACAACTTATTCATTAGAATAATAAATCTGAGTTTGTATTACTTAAACCGAGTTATAATTTAGTCATTATGAATACTGCGGTGCATTAGGAATACTGCGGTGACAAATAAGAATAAGACCTGCAGATTTAAATGGTTTAGCAAATAGTTATTAAGTTTATAATGATAGTTATTTTCATGTAATGGATAACTTTTAGCAAATTAGCACTTAGCACATTTTTTAAAAATTAAATTGTTTTTTGCAAATATCTTGGCATCGAGCGATCCAATTTTGATGTTAAAACTCTCTGTCAGATATCATACTACTAATACTGATTTCAATATTGGATGTTTCATAAAAAAATATCGATCACCACACAACTTATTCATTAGAATAATAATAAATTTGGGTTTGTAATTACACCGAAAAATAATTTGCCGAATAATGGCATTCCTTGGGCCGAATTCGGGCCTAGATTACTGCGTCAGAAATTAAAGATACGATCATGGCGTAATAAGTGAAACAATATAAAGTTTAAGAGTAACTAAATTTGATCATATAATATTTTGATCGAATGGCCCCTTTCGATAATAGATACTAAGATTTTCTTAATTTGTATTAATAATATAATTCGAGCTCAATCATATTTATTACACGTGATCGCAATCAAATCATGAACCAATAAATTCCCTAACATTATGAACATTTTTTTTACATGTGATTTGCAAGACTCGCATGGACTGCACCCAATGTTACAATCGATTTTTGTTGGTTCGGAATAATAAAATCTAAAACCTTTACGCCAAAAAAACAATCATATGTCATGACTTTGCATGGAATTTTTAGGCGCTGTAAATTTCAAACTTAATTACTAATTAAAATAATTAATTAAATTTAATTTATTAATTATGATCTTTTTTTTTAAAAAAAAATGTTATTATACAAGTTTATGAAAATGAAAATATTGTAATTATGTATGAATGATCAAAGAAAAAAAAAAATAAAATATGATAAAAAATAAAAAATAAAAAATGAATATCTACAAATTAACTAAAAATATAATTCTATGAAATCCTTTAATTTTTAATAATAATATCAAATTATTCAATGTTTATTTTTTATCCCAAAAAGTTTCAGCCGCTCATTTATCCCTTTTATTTAAATTGCCATCCCTTTAAATTGTGTTTACCATATGGTATTTTTAGAAAAGAAGTATTATATTTATCGACCGTATGATACAATTTAAAAAAAGGAGTATCAAATATTCGGCTTATCTAATGTTAAAGAAAGGATATTAAAAAAAAAAAGCGTCGTGCGTATAAAGACAATTACGAGAAGTAATCATTACATACCTATATTTTGATATCGTCTATTATCAAAATTTACCATCGTTTACGTTCTATTGCCCCAGAAGCGATTCTTAGACCACCGATAACAATAGCAAGAATTCCGCAAATTCCAAGAACAGAAAGTATTATAACCATTTTGATTTTTTTTTTAAAAATAAATGTGAGTAAAAAAATGAAAATTTCTTTTTTTTTGAAATTTTTTTATAAAAATTTTTTTTTTTTCGCGATAAATGATTTTGAGAGAAAAAGAAATGAATCAAGATTAAGAGGTAAAACAGGAATTCAAAGATCTTATATATCTATAAAATGTGAATATAAGTAATATATATATAGACTAAATGAGTAGTCTAAATTAAGTCAATAATGATCCGAAATGGAATTTCCGAAACGTTTATCATTATAATGTTTATTAATCGTAACACAATAAATAAACCAACTAAATTTAGCTGCTTAATTACAATAAAAAAAAAGAGGTCGTTATGGTCTAAATGGAATATTCTGAAGTAGGCCCTACCTTTAAATTTATAGTTTTACCCTAATAAAACTATTTACGGAAATGAGATGATGCCAAGAATGAAAATATAATCATGAGAGTGTATGACTAATAATCAAAATTTTTACCTCCTGAATGACCTTCACTTTTATTGCTTCCAAATAAGGAATCCGGTTATTTTTTTTTTATGTTATGTTGATAATCAGCATAATCAACGGAGTTTTAACGTTTTAAAATCAATAATTCCTTCTTTATACATGTTTCTTTGAATTCGCTTTGCTCCGGCATTCACTTCGGCCTGTCAAACATATTATTTGGATTGTATTGGGTTTAATTATGAATGAAATGTCTAAAATGTTTAAAACTCCGTTATAAAAAAGGTATGTTTACAATTTGTGTGCCCCTTAAATACTTTAAATAACAATTTTGTAATAATCGGTCGCACAAGTTTATATCATATGTTACCTTGTTTTTCACCCCATGACTAATTTTGGTTTTCTCAAAGAAAATGTCGCAGTAATTTTGATGAGGCGTTTCTACTAAGAAAGGTAATATTCATATAACCCTCTCTCATAAATTTGTTAATTTAGCCATGCCATAAAAATATATTTATATAATTTATGAATTTTACAAGAAAAAAAAAACAGTATAAATATCCTTTAAAAAACTCCATCTTTTTTTTTTTTTCATAATTTAAACATCTTTCTTATATTTCAATTAACGGAAATTTCTTATTATTAATAACATATAGAAATGGCCGAATCATCATCTATTTCAAAAAGACCACAACTTAAACAATCCTTTTCTTATTCATTTTCATCAAATAATATCTTTCCAGAATCACCAAAAAATCAACAAATTAACCAATCCTATACTCCTCAAGAAAATAATGATAATCCTTTTTCATCCATTCATCATCATAAAAAATCAAAATCTAATACTTTCTCATCAATATTTTCACGTTCTAGTTCATTTATGAGGCGTCGTCGTACAGAGACTTATCAGGAAAATGATGAATTTACTAACGGATGTTTTGGATTCTTGTGCACTTTAGGATCAAAAATAAAGTACAAAATAAATAACACCTGGAAAGGTGTTAAATCTAAATGTAAGGGGAAATTTTCTAAAAAAAGAAGTTTAGATCAAGATGATTGGAAAACAAAAGCTATTACATTGAATCAAAATTTGTAATATTTCATTATTTTCTTATTTTCTTCAACATATTGAATAGATGATATACAGTAGTATGATTAATAATTTAGAAAAAAAAAAAAAAAATTACATAAAACAAACTATTTGGTTGGTTAAGGCCACAATTATATTTAAATAATGCATATATCATGTTTAGAAAAAAAAACAAAAAAAAAACATTTAATAATTATATAGGCACTTAATCTAATCATATTATTATTTAAACCATTCCTTTCTCTTATTCTCTTAATAATATTAATATATCGATATATTTATCAATCAAAGAAAATAATTTATTTAAAGACATTGTTACGTGAATACCAATCATTTTAGTAGACACAATTTTCAATTTGTTCATATCACATAATGATATGTCCCAATTTCTTTGTAATTTATATATTACTAAATTAATAAATTTTCAAAGCAGCAAAAAATTTTTTTTAATGCCCTCGTGGCGTTTAATATTTATTATTTAGATTTCATGTATACATAATCAAAGTAAATCCGTCACCCGAAATGAGAAAATTCTTAATAGTAAAACAAATATTTATTTTGTGATAATAAATACGTACTACATTATACACTAATTGATTTTGTCGATTAAATCGATAGGCCATTTGAATAAACAAAATGAATATATAAATGATTAACACAGGACCCTAAATCCCTAACAAAAAGAAAATGGACCCTAATAAAAGAATTATCCGCCTGTTCATCTCCATGTGTGACGGGGTATTTTTAGTGCATGTTTATTTATACCAACTAAAATATAGAATTAGAAAAAGACATAATGGAGCGCCAGAAGACCCTGACATTGAGCCGGATCCGGATTAAATTTTTTATATAGGCTCGAAATCGGATTTTATATGTTCCGGGCTATTGCAAGGTTCTTATTTTCAGCCCATGCAAGCCTCTTATTTTGCCGTTATATTTTTTGTGAACTTTGATACCGATTTAAATATATCTAATTATAAAATTCTTACACTAATTAAAAAAAAAATGATTGCTTTTATAATACATGGACTGATATGTTTAAAGGAAGATTTTGACGGATTTGGAGCTAGTAAATTATTACTGTTTATAAGTTTGTTTTAATGTTCTCTGAAACATCCGAGTCAATCGAAATAATTTGATAATTTGAAACGTATTTATTTTGATTACATAAAATAAAATAAATTTTTGACCGATCTACATTGGTTGAAACTTGAAACGCGGATGTGTCTCATTAAAAAAAAAATTAGTAGCAAATTTTTGATTACTTGAATAAGTGAATTAAGATTTTCATTTGATGTTCAGTTTGTGGTCTTTTTCTCCATGAATATAATGCACCGTTCTCGGATCGTTCGGATTGGAAAAAAAAAAGCAACCCCACCAAAATGATCAAATGATCCGGGTCTATTTGTCACGTGGGTAAGATCAATTTCTTAATGCCGTAATAGGTAATGCTTCACGTATGAATCAGATCTCTGTGCTCGATAAAAAATGCCAAAAAAAAAAAAAAATTTTTTTTCTACCTTTACGATCTTTACGATATTTTTAAATGTTAAAATTACAACTACAGTTTAAGCTCGAATACTTCATATTTCTTTCTGTTCTAAAATTTTGTCAATCAAAAGATGATCTCTCTCATTCAATAAGCGGGTCAACATCTTCATAATTAGCAGAGACTGTATTATAAAAAGCGACTTCTATGATGGAGAACTAAAGACGAGAGTATTCGAGTCTGGTTAAGTTCGGTATCGATAAGAAAAAAGTCAGAGGTCAGATACGAGTTCAAGAATGAAAACAATCAAAATAATAGGAGCGAAATATTTATGCAAAAATTTAAGTACAAGGCAGGATTGGACACTATAATAACAATCACTTTTAAAAGTTTTTTAACAATGAATTAGGCTTAGTTATAGTACCTATTTGTGGAAATTTCTCTGGACTCTGGAGGCTCCATCTTGGATCTGTGAAGACCAGAGCCAATTACACAGTGAAATTCGATATAATGGAACCATCCGTTCCATTATTAAAATTTGTCAAAAAATCCGTTATATCAAGAATTTCAATATATCGACAATAAAGGGGCTACAATATCCGCATATTAATTTTATTAACATTTATTTTTTATTAACAAAAAAAAAAAAAAATAATAATAATAATTTATCCAAGGAACATATCATTAAATCTATATACGCTGGAAAAAAAATTATAACATCTATTGTATTAAATATAAATATCTAAAACACTATTGAAGGAGCAGATAATACTGTTAGGGATCAATAGGAAATTTAATAACCAACATACGATTTGGAATTTAATTTGGTGGTAGACAACCATCTTGGCATCGCATAATTCCCCCAGCGGTCGCTGCTATACCAAATGGTATTATTGGATTATTACAAGTGGCTGAACCGGATAAGAAACATCGGCTGCTTGCAAGATTCCATTGAACACAATTGGGGTCTTGAGCACAAGCTACACAACAACTTATTGCATCTGTAGCTCCATTAACTTGAGCATTAACGTTTAGATGTAATTGGAGTGGAATTGCAGTTTGAAATGCACCAGGAGTACAACAAGGAATAACAGTTGTGGTAGTTGTTGTTGCAGTCGCTGTAGTTGTTGTTACTGATACGGAAGTTGAAGTAAAAGTCCTAGTAGCAGTCAATGTTGTGGTGCGAGGTTTGGGACATTTTTTGATAACAGTTGGAGTACAATAGACGGTTTTTACGCATTTTCGATGTTTATAATAGAAATCATGCCGCTTTTCCTTTTTATCGGGGATGCAAATAACCTCCTCATTCTCATGTCTCTTTTTTACAGTATTTGTAGTAGGTACGACGGTGGAGGTTGTGGTTGTGGTAGTGGTGGTAGTAGTAGTAGTAGTGGCGGGTTTGATGGTGGTAGAACTAACTGTGACAGTAGTGGTTTTGGTTTTTGGGCAATTTTTAGGATTAATGGTTTTAGTACAATGGCGTGTCTTTGTGACGGTCTTGCAGTTTGTAGCAGTTGTTTGCGATGAGAAAAGAAGTATAGAGACAATTAAAATAGCTGTAGCGAAAAGAATACTTTTATTCAACCACATCTTGAAGAAGGAAAAGTTTGACAAAGAAATTAATTATTATATTAGTATGTAGGAAATTATTAAGATAGGGAATTTAAAATTTTTAGCAAAATAAAAATATATTGAATTATTTTTTTTTTTTATCTAAAAAAAAATATTAGACAATTATTTTCTTTGGGTTAAAAAAAAAAGATCTTATTTATATACAGTCTTGAAGCTGAAATACAAAAGTACAATCGACTATTTTGTTTCTATTGACATATGCCGATGCCCGATGTATACAAATCTTTGCAATTGTGAACCATTCAACTTCTCTTTAAATTATGTCGACCAAAAATTTATTTTCGTAGCACATTTTAATTGTTCATTATTGGAGTTCTCAATGAGATAGATCGTAGATTCCATTTCTTTGTTTACAAATTATATACTTTCCTCGATTTATTTAAAGATATAATATAAATTAACATGGTATCCAACATAAATTCTATTTATATTTTTAACCAGTAAAATCCATGTTAATAAGTTATATTTGTTGATTGGATCAAATTTCGAAACAGCCGTTAATGTTACATGAAACATGATGCTACATGATGCTACAAACAATGGGTAAAATCAAAATTAGAGATTTTATATTCATAAGCTTACACATGCATTAATGCATTAGTTAATGTGGTTAAAATGAATGGTTTAGTATATATAACAAACAATTTCGCCATGAGGTGCATTAAGTAAAATTAGAATTAGTTGGATTCATTTAATTATTAAATAAAAAAAAATTATTTTTAAAAATCCTTTATTTATACTTTAGTTACATTATTGCAGTTTGGTCTTACATATCTTACATATGCGTCGATAACTGAAGCATATGATTGGTTAATTCGTGACACTTATTTTAAGATTCATATCTCGCAGAAGTAAAAAAGGTGGTATGATATTACATAATAAATCAACTTCTACGTACAACGACTATGAAATGGTTAGGTCTTGAGTGACCCACAGTCCCCCAAGACTAACAAACTCGAATGATCCAAAGCCTCGAGTTTGCCACAGTTCCCATAGTATAAGTGACCCACAGTCCCGTTAATGAAGTCCTTCCCAACCTGATAAAATTGCAGTATATCTCACCTTCCAATTGTCTCTAATATTTCTTAAAACACGCGTTATAAGCTTCATAAAAAAAAAATCGGAATCAAGAGTTTCCTCAAATCCTTACTAAGCGCATCATAATTTTATTATCTGGCCTTTCTTGTTAATAATAGACGAAGGTATCATCAGCGGTTATAGAGTTGATTGCGGACACAATTTCGGGCTAAGGAACCGGTAAAGGGATCTGCTTAAGAAAAGTGTTTCATAATACTTACGATAATTCAGACGAAAGCTTCGATACTTTTGTTTCTATTAATTATAGAAAAGAATGTCAAAAAAATAAATGAATCTTTGTACTATATGTATTCACGATCACATGCTCAAGGAAATGATATGACCTGCATAACGCAGCAATTTTTTTTAAAAAAAGTAAATTAAGATAAAGATTTCTAAAATCCTAAAAAAGATATAAGTCCTTCAAGTTTACTTAAGGGTTGGAATGATGTTGAAAATGCCATTACTATGCCATTTGACCTTAAAAATCTCTTTGCCAATCATTGCCAAACGAAATAAAGATGGTTTTACCAAATAGGTCAAAAATGAATTGCTTCATCAGCAAGTAAAAGTTACAGTCAAATGATCATGTGATAAATGTTTATCAATCAGATTTTTTTTTCTCTACAAAATCTACTAACACGGACACGGGTTCTTATCGTCAACAAAACAGAATATTTTAAATAAGTCTTTCGTTCGCGATTTGAACTAACTTTCTGCATTTTTAATGGAAAATAAACACCTTTCTCGAGAAGATCTCTTTTCAAATTCCTTACTCAATGTAGTATTCACGATCAGGTCTATAACTGCCGAAACATGTTCGACTATGATCAGAAAGAATACCTAAACAATAAACTCTCAGCAATATACGACGTTCTAAGCAAAGATTCGGAAGAATTTATTGATTCCAATTTCTTTAATATGGATACAACGTAGTTTTTGAGAAATATTAGGGACAATTGAGATGTAATTATGTTATTTAAGAACTAGCCAAGAAAATTCTTCATAGATAAACAGGTTTGTGATATTATTTTGCAAGCAGCTGTTAATTATACAGTATACTTTGACTGCAATATATTTATTTTTTAAATAATTATATAGGATAGCGCCTCTTGATTAAGGGACGTAAGCATCTGAAAGAGAGAAAGAGAGAAGGGTCGTGAATCACTTCCTCGTGACATATGGGATGAGTTATTATGTGATAGATTAGGAGACAAAGAGAGATTAAATCAATACATAATCTTTGGACAAAGATGAATTAAAATTACTGATTGAGAGATTGTCCTTATAATCTATGAGTGTGAATATATGTTATTGTTCGATCAAATTATGGAAGACTCTTCGGAGGAAGAGAAGGAAGAGAGAGATGAGGTAGACACGGTAGGATGATGTTGAAAATGGTGTCAAATTGAAGATAAGGCCGCTTCCAAAACGGAAAAAATATCACATAATTTCAATGAAATAGCTACCATTTTTATACTTACCGAAAAAATGAGATTAAGAAATTATAAAGAAATTTAAGAATGTGAAATGGATACATTAAATTAATCATAATTAAATTCTCTAATATGCTGAGAAATTTGACTCTACAAAGACTGATTTATAATCCTATATATACGTCTTATTTTACACTGAGAAATTGATTAGATGACATCAACAATATACATCAACACTAAAACAAAATATTAAATCACCGTTGATGATATCAATCAATCTCAACTTTCTGACACACATATTATCAAAAGTGTTTCAGTCATTTATATATAAACTTTAATTCTTATAATCAACATTCCGCGGGAATACGTTCTTGGAAATGTCACCCGTGAGGCAAACTAAAAAACTCTGACTTCAAGTCAAAGTTCAACCGAAGACAATGCCTTTCAAACGTTCCAAACTCAAACCCTGGCTTCAAGTGTCTTACTTCGAAATCCAAACATAAATATTGTCCAGTTGAGTCAAAATAATAATAATGTGATATCATTTGTCCAAGTTGTCAGGAACTGATCTGTTACTAAGAAAAGGAATAGTATTAAAAAACACTACTGAACAGCACGCACCTTGGGCATCACGTTTAGTTTTCTTGATTCTGTGCAATATCTTGAACTATTTAAACCAAGATGGATTCTCAGACCACCGATTATAAAGCAGATGGAGTTGCTGAATTCTTTAGAACGTCCAAAACAAATTCTATTGTTGCTGCTTGAAATTTCCAGAGATCTTGATAAGCCGGATTATTAAATTTAGACTCAAATTAATGAATGAAAGCGCCTTTGCACTTAACAAATTTATGTAAAGAACATTTATTAATACAGAAACGAATTGTCGCGAGAAAAAATCAGTTACAAAGAGTAAAGTCCATGAACCATCCGATGAAGAAGAAATATGACAAGAACGGAACTGCCAACGTGGAGCGTGTGCAAAACATTTGGAATTTTTCTTGCTCAGTAAGCTATATTTTTGAGCGTGAGCGTGTTTCTTTAATATTTCTTTAATTAATATACTATTTGGGTAAATTGATTCTTGAAATGATACAGTATATCATGTTTCTCGCTTTGAAAAAAACTGGAAAACTTTAACGGTTGATAAGTGATATTAATGGTAATGACTTACAAGGAAGGATATCCGAAGTTCTAGGATGAATCTTTGCGGTAGTATTAGTGGGATATTGTATAGGAAAAATAGACGATTTCTTTGTTCTACTACAGTGAAGATAAGAAGAAAGATAAAATTCGTCCACTTTCTTGTTGACACAGGATCTCCAAAGGCCTACATCTATGAGGAAGCACTGGGTGCATTAAATTTTTTTCAGTTGATCCGGCCGAGAAAATTTTAATAGTATAGAATATAATATATTAATTTCACCAAGGAGATCACATTTGGCAATATTAATACTATCAGACCGGATTTTATAGACAAATTTTGATGCTGAACTTCATATTTATATCAAAAAGCGTGATTTTGATTTAAATTTTGACAAACATAGCGTGAAGAAATTACTACCCACTACCTTGTTTCTCTCTAAATACGCTGAACATTTTATTGAACCAATAAGTCGAAATAGCTGGATTTCTATATCTGAAGAAAAGTTACCGGAAGTAAGTTGAAACATCAAAACCTTTATCAAGATCTTCGAAAACTGTTGTTTATTTCTCGCAATTTTTTAGATTAAATAAAATGTCGCAGTAAACGAGATGATATTGCATCAAGCATTCGCCATGCGATATTTTCCGCCTACGAGTAAACGCTTAGACTATATCGATAATTACATTTGTTTACATTGCAAACATCAAAACTGACAAGAACTCGACAATATAATAATGATGATTCAAATGTACTTAAGCTTCCTCACTTCAATAGATATACAAAGATCAATACGAAGATCATGAGACCGATAAAGACAATATTTGTTTTATATTAAAATATTCATTATTTTCAAAATGCTTAGATATTTCATAAATTTGAATTAATTGGTTGGCAAATGGTAGATTGACAATCAAGTAAATACCTTATTTGATTAGCGATTCAAAGAGCACGGAATCCCATTTGATAAGGTATTAGGAGTGTATTCTGCTAAAATCAGCCATTCTTTGGAGTTACGCTATTAAATTTTCAGATATCATAGCACAAGTGAGACGTCTAATTTATGAAACTCAGAAAATTCATCATGTGACACTAAAACGGAGCGGTAATCTCGCACCCGTGATTAATTTAAGGAAATGGATAATATGGACAATATATATACTTAAAAATTCAATTGTTTATTTATCAATAAGCAGAAAAACTTTTATTTCTATTCAAATACTCGAAAATATAGTAGTTGTATTCGTAAATGAAAAAAAAGAAAATAATATAAATGGAATAGTCTATTTACTATATGTCGTAATGTTCAAGTCAGAATCTTTATCTTGTGTTATTTTACTTTAATGCTATCAAGTTCTTCAATTACTTGACAAATAGGTGGTCTTTCATCTGGTTCATGTTGCCAACATTCTATTTAAAGAGATTAAATTATATTAATCTATTATTAATCTTATTGCAAAAATAAATTATACAATTATTTTTTTACTTACTTTTATAAAGTGAAACGAATTTATCATTTGTTTTTGGAATAGGATTTTCTCTAACACGATTAAGAATCATCAATTTAATAGAATCACGGTCAAATCCTTTTTTTTCGAAATTGAAAGGTGATGAACGACTTATTAATTCCCAGAATAATACCCCTAAGCTATATATATCTGACTTTTCGGTCAAACCATATTTTTGATTTTCAGATGAACTTGGGCTCTGCTCAAAAAATTTGGGATCCATATAGGGTATTACACCATATGCTTTAGTATGACTAACTGATTCTTTTTTTTGACATGAGCGGCCAAAATCTGCTACCTTTATTTTACCATCATTTATTAAGATATTATTGGGATGCTAAAAAAAAGAATATGTTAATTGCGCAATAAATATATTAGATAACTGATACGAATATATTGTACTTACAAGGTCTCCGTGTATGATTTCTTTATCAACATGTAACCATGAAATCGCATTTGCAATTTCTCTGGCGAAATTTAATTGGCTTTCCCATTTAAAAGGTATAGTATCGTCTCTTAGATAATCTCTTAATGTTTTGTCCGCATATTCGAGAACAAGCGAGTAATTTGTTTCACCAAGTTTCGTAACTCCATAAAACGTAATTATATTTGGATGAGGATTAACTATTCCCATTAAATGAATCTGAAAAAAATAATGGATTTAATCAACAAAATAATATCGAAAATAGTTATATAAAAAACTGTATCGGTAACACACCTCCTTAATAATAGCTTCTTCCTTGGGATTTTTGAATTTTTTAATTGCGAATTTTGATGCATTTTTCCGACCATAATAAACAAAGGCGGATGCTCCAGAAGCAATCTCAGTAAGATTCTTAAAGTCTTGAGGTTCATAACGATGAATTGTTCTTAATGTCTCGTCATCTAATAATATCTTTAATGTATTTTTGGTGTCACTCTCTTCAAGGCGCAGCTATTAATATTGATGTTGAATTATTAATTTGATGCATATAATTGGATATATTGGGCGTTTATTATTAGTTCAGTCGGAGATATTGTATGCAGCCCCGTGATAAAAAAAAACCATTTAAATAGCGGGCTTTTGACCGTTGTGGCGCAGTTTTCCAGCTTCAAGAAATGTCGTTAAATTTAATAGCTTAGATTTTTTAACACCGAAATAAAGGTAAAAATGAGTTTTTTTTTTGACTAAAAATATTTTTTTTAACACTGAACCATGGCAGAATAAAAGGATTTATTTTTTAGCACAGGAATAAAGGCAGAATGTGTTTTATTAATAGCCGAAATATTTTTCACAGAGAAATAAAAGTAAAAAACGTATTTTAAAATCAACCAGAACAAAAAAGTGGTCAAGTCTGGAATCCAAAAGTTTGAAAGTTATATGTATGTAAAATTGTACGCCCACATACATACATACGTACTGTAGTAGGACCCCGGACAATTATAATTAAGGTCATATCTTCTATGCTAAAAATTTACCCTTATCATCCTGAACTTACTTTTAAAGCTATAGATACAAAACTTTGTAATAATAATTGCCCTCCTATTATCTATAATTTTGTTACTTAAAAAGTAATATTTAATAATAGTAATTTTTATTTTTTTGTATATTGCTATGTATACCGATAGTGAAAAAGCGTATATTTTTTTGCCAAATTTTGCCTGTGTAACGATACTTATCTCAAATTCTAATCAGTAGATTTACAAGATTTTTGGTATCAAAAGATTCTTCTCTTCAAAAGAAACATTTTTTTCTATGGTAAAAAATAATATTAACTTAATAAAATTACATGTTAAAAGAAAAATAAAGTTTAAAACATAGTAAGATATGACCTCAATTATAATTATCCGGGGTCCTACTGTAGTACATTACTGCGTCGACTACTTTACATCCAAAAGTTTTGGGTAACGCGATCGAATTCATGCAAAGTATCCACATTTACGTATCTTGTATTATTTTTTCGTGCTGTCAGTACGCCACATACTACATATGAGATATATAACAGGTTTGATTTCCTAATAATTTGATTTATTTCAATTTTAGCCAGAATTAAATTTCGTTAGTAATTCTGGCTGGAATTAAGAAAATCACTAATCACGATTATATTTTTCTCCAAACCCAACACCGAAGTTTAATAAATTCAAAATTATAAAAACTTTTAATCTAGTCAAAAGCCCTGTTCATTTCTAGATCGTATCAGATTACAATTGAGCACAATTTGGGTTGGTTATACTGTATATCTTATAGGGCAAAAAACACGTAGATGTGCCGTCTCAGAAATTCTCAGTCACATGATCCGTTACCTGAGATAACTTTTCAGTCCGAAGACATTCCATATTCTATAACCTCTTGAATTTTCTTATTAGTACTGAACAAATAATAAATCCTTCTGGGTACTTCCATTTGTCTTCCGGAGCAAGCCTTCATTCTTTCATGATATTTATATTGATTGATCTTTAAGCACTTTTCTAATAGCAAGATTTATAGGAAGTGATCAATCCTGATTTTTTTTCAATTGAAAGGCAAATTGACCAATGGATTAACATGAACTCAATTCTATCATATGAAGAAAGTGATACGGATAAATTTTTTATTGCAATGTAATTTATTAATGAAAAATAATATCAAAGCTATTATTACGCAGAATAAAGCACCATTTTAGCCTTAGTGTAGTAATAGGTATTGGAGAAGCAAATACAGAGGAAATGTGAATAAAAAATAATGGTTTCTAAAATAGGCCAATGCCCTAAACCATCTACCACAAATATGGTATAATTGTATAAAAGAACATATTCGCCATGAGGCAGGACAAGGCGTAAATATCATGACATTTAGGAATGACATCATAAACATTTACTTCATAACATGATTTCTTTCCCTCCTTTATCCAGATATAATTTCTTTTCTTCTCTTTTATACTTTCTAACTGTACCCTTGATTAGTGTTTTGATCCAGATAAAACCTCAAATATTTTAACGTGGGATTATGATTAAAAAAGGTTACAAATTTCGGCTTTGAGTGGACTATAATTTCGGCCAGAATTAAAATAATATTATTCCATAAATTTTTATTAATTTTGGTGGCCCCAGACTAAATTAACTGAGCCGGTATCTGGATAAAAACTGGATAAAACTGCTACAGATCAAAACTCTACCCTTTATATTTAACCCAATGACATCATTTAAGAGACCCAAAGTTCTTAATACCAATCGGAACCTTTGCAAAAAGCGCCTCTAAGATCGTGTTTCCTTCTTCTAGTGTTATTTCGTTTGGTTCCTTAGAAAATTAATAAAGTTTGGTATTATTATTTACATACATAAAATAGAACAATATCCACTAGGTTTACCATCTGATCTTTTGGTTTCGTTAGAAACTCCATTTTTATTTAAAAACATTAAAATCTCCTCGTATTCTTCGTATGGTTGTCCCTTATCAAGCCACTCTCTAAATGCAGTCCAATTAAAAGTTACTCCCAAATCTGGCCAACTAAAGAATGTTACAGTCTCCGATTCTTCAGGTAAATTTCTTAACTCTTCTTCCAGTTTTTCAAGCTTTTCTTCCCCTTGCTGGCTAGCTAGGGTTCCTAGGGTCTGAGTGTTTTTGATTCTTTCTTGTAAATTATTAACCTTATCTGATTCTTAGCGTTAAACATTATAGACGTTATAGTGTGGGTAGAGAGTTTATGAAAGATACGCAGTTCAGTAAAAATTGGCTTTTTGTTGCAGATCAGTTCTGATTTACCTTCGTCTTTATAACAGGGCAGACATCCCTATATTATCACAATATTGCCGATCATTTTGCTGATCACTTGTCCAATATTATCACATAAAAAAATACCGTTGAATTAATTTTTTCACAAATTCTACATAATAATGTATAAAATTTCGATTTTATTTATTTTATTTTATTTATTGTTAATAAATTAGTTCTTAAAATAATTCATAAAGATTTTGTCAAATATCAGACATATATTAATTTTACAATAATTGTAAACATTTATTTAATGATAACTTTCGGGTTATCAAAAATTATTCAGGTTTATTTTAACCACAAATTCTTGAATACCTAAATAGCATACTGTGAAAGTTTCAAGTTTGGCCCGAAGTTCTGTGGCTTGGCCCGAAGCTTCAAAGTCAAATTAGCAGATGATCAGCATATATGTGAATTATTGAAAATTTCAACCTAAGGCTAAATTTGGAACCACATTTTATTTTGCTACATTACTTTTATATTTAATTATTGATAACCTAAATTATTAAACAAAACAGTTAAATATAATTTTTAGAACATTTATGGCTTGAAATAAGGCTTCAAAGTTAATGTGATATCACATTTATTATGATCGGCAAATGATCAACATGTGATATAGAGTATGTCCGCCCTGTTCGTCTTTATCGAGCAACTCTCTAAATGTAGTCCAATTAAAAGTTTCATCCAATTCTGGCCAACCAAAGTATGTTACAGTCTCCGATTTTTCAGGTAAAATTCTTAATTCTTCTTCCAGTTTTTCAAGCTTTTCTTCCCCTTGCTGGATGGCTAGGATTCTTAGGGTCTGAGTGTTTTTGATTCTTTCTTGTAAATTATTAACCTTATCTGATTCTTTAATGTTAGACATTGTAGAAGTTATAATGTGAGTAGAGAGTTTATGGCGAATTTTCAAATTTTTTTTAGCAGATCAGAATGAGCAGAATGATTAGTAATGGATTAATAGGTTAATATATATCATGATTAATGATTAATTTGATCAATTTATCTGCAGTAAATCAACTAGGATTTACCTAGCGTAAATGTCATGAAAAATCACGTGACTGTTTTTTGTCGCGTTACACCCTTCCTTGTTTCCATTTTTCATAAGTATCTGGGGACAGAGAATTTTTTTAAGGTGTGAAATCCTATTTGTCACACATTATTTGTCACACATTATTTGTCATATAGTTAATTTCTTAATTCTTAATGCCAGCCATTTCGTGACATTTTTGTGGTAGATTACAAATGTAATAATGATGTGCAAGTCACAGTCACAATTTTTTAATAGTTTAATTACAAAGCCCACAGTACATGATGAAATTTCAGTGTTAAAGATGTTCATTACAATCATAAATTTATTGCTTAAAGAGTTACAACTTAGACAATATTCCAACTTATCTTGGAAATACAACTTCACTAATTCAGGATCAAGGGAGCTGACTTCTGCAGGATCAAAATTACTTTTAACTGCAATGCATTCTTTATTAACTCTAACAAGTTTTAAAGTAAAATACCTAGTACCATAGACCTTACAGCCATATGTGCACTATAGTAAAGTTCAATTTAATCTAATACATAAAGCCCCAAACAACAAATAATATACATAAAAAAAAATTTAAATTACCACTACTTAGAAAACAAATAAGAAAAAAGTAAGATTACTATAAAAACCCTAAATAAATTCTATCGTGTGTAAAATTTAAGTAAAAGCTTTTATAAGCTAGCCATTATTTGCACTAATTTAGTCTCATCTCAGTCATTAAAACAAGAAGGAACTTTCCACACAAATTTTAAGAAAATGACGTAAAAATTTCTATTAACCATGAGGAATGTTATTTTTTTTTATATCCAAAAAGCTAATTAAATCAAAATAGTAAATTTATACAGTATCCAAAACTAAAAAAATAAATCTAATTGATGTTTAAACTATTTACCTAACTAAAGACAGATTAATCCTCTCCATAATATACTCCAGTAAATAAAGCAAAACCTTTCTTTGGCAAAATCTGCAACCTTTAAATACTCTTTAGATAGTTTTTTACATGTAAGCACTGCTCTCCACTAAAAATTATTTCTATGTTTTTTAATGTAATATATGCAAACTTACT